AGAGGAAGAGAGAGAGAGAGAGAGAGAGAGAGAGAGAGAGAGAGAGAGAGAGAGAGAGAGAGAGAGAGAGAGAGAGAGAGAGAGAGAGAGACAAACACACACACACAGCGTGACGGGTGTGAACGGTGGTCGTGCAGCGCTTGTTTCGAGCGATCGAAAGCAACAAAAAAAAGTTCTGAACTCCCTACACAGCAACTCTCACCAGGACAAAATCAACAAGACCTGTTTGAAACACACAAAACATAAACATGGCCCTCGTCTCAAACACGACAGGAGGAGGCACACGATTTTTCATCCCACAGCAGATGCAAGCCGCAGGAGCAACAACAGAGTGGGAGGACGGCAGGATCAGAGAGTGAAGGCTGGCGGTACTCACCCCGTGGTACCGCTCCACCGCGGCGCGCAAGCGCTCATCTTCCTCCAGGGACCATCGGCGTGGGTGCGGCCTGCGGAGAAAAAACACGACACGAGCGCCGTAGTACAACATAACTTGATTGGCAAATATTAGTAGTGGCTATGCCACGCAACTATATACCAGGCATCTTTTCGAAAAAGATACTATCCTAGGAAGACACGAAAGACATGAAATGAAATACCTCTTGTACAAGAAAATTACATTCAAGGACCACACAGAGACATGGTTCGACAGCAGTTCGAGAACACGCTAAGTTCGTGAGAGAGATACAAAGAGATAGAAACAGCGCGCGAGAGAGAGAAACGAAGAGATAGAAACAGCGCGCGCGAGAGAGAAACGAAGAGATAGAAACACAGAGAGAGAGAGAGAGAGAGAGAGAGAGAGAGAGAGAGAGAGAGTAAACGCCTGCGCGAGGTGATCCGATGGAGACCGTGAAGGGGGGGGGGGGGAGGGGGGTCGTCACCGTAATCCCCTCCTACTTCCGGCGGCGTGTTTTCGCCGGATGCGCACGCGTGTAACCTTTCACCAACCAACACCGCACCGGAGGGGTATTGCGATACTGCTGTTGGGCCAAGACATTCCGTACTTGTATCATCTCCTTGCATCTACTCAAGACATGCCCGAATACCCACCCTTGGTCTTCGTCTTCAATCTGCGGTGCCCCCGATGTGTGATTTCGGCTCTGGTAGCTGGCAGTTCGGGCTCGCTTCGCCTGAGGCTGCGTAGATGAGACAGCGAACGGGGTTGGTTGGAAAAAAAGGGTAGATTCTGCGAAAGAGCTGTCGTCAAGACTTCAACACATCTCTTTCGACTGCTGTGGTTTTATCTCGAACGGTAGTCTTTGTGTGTGATTTGTGTGCCTACGTTCTGGAAAAAAAAAGGAGAAAAGGCGTGTTCTCCTTGAACAAAGCGACGGGACAAAGCATCTCACTACAAATGCATACGTACACCCGTTCTGCGCAAGGGGTTCAACATCGATGTACAGTACATATGTTTGTTACACATGGTAGGACTAAAAAGGTTGCAGGGTGTCTTGTACGCTTGGTTGAATTTTTATCAACGTATGCAAACCAGCTAGACTACAGCCGTAAGCACCGCAAGCGGGAAAACTTGATTCATTCCTTCGCGTGAACCGCGATGGCGCAATACATAAATTAAGGAGCGGCGACGATGATACGCTCGCCGCATTGACATCTACCAACTGCAAGTGCGACGGCACAACATGATGAGTGGCCCGGGGCCACTTGCGACTTAACACAATCATAATGAGATGCGGAGCGCGAAGCGCGACCGTTCTTTTCCCTCCGTCCCAGGGGGGGGGAAACAAGCTCTCATGTATCTACCAGGGGCCCAAGTTGCAATAAACAACCGCCTGAATCTTCCTTCCTTTTCGACCAGAACGAGGTCTCGATAGAGCACCGATTGACGATCTGCTGGCTTGCGAGGCAAGAAGAAAAATAGCGCATGCGCTCTTCACCGCACCGGTTTTGGTTGTGCTCCGACAGCATATGGCCGCGCTTCACCGGCATTTGTACCCAAAAACCATAGGAAATACTAACCCCCATGCCCGGGGAGTTGTAGAGGTAATGGAGGAACAAAAAATCAGGGATCTACCACCTCACGCACGCCGGCGCGCAAGTTGCTTGGTTGAAACCAGGGGGAACAGAGGAAGCACTCAGCTAAACACGCAACACCGCTGGGAGGGGCAAGACAGCACTGGCGGGGGAAGAGAGCCATACACGCAGCTCGTGGCGGATGCCACTGTCATTGCTGTTGATTGTCTGTGTGTGTGGGGGGGTATCATCGGTAAACCAGCGCCAGACGCACAAAAGCTAAAACTGAGCCCAGCAGATGCGGCGGGTTTCTTTGAGACTGCCCCAGAGTTGCAGACTCTCGCGCTCGCTGTTTCTGAGCGTCCTACAGCCTCCTAGTCTGCATCAATCACCACACAAGACGGATCACGGACACAGCTCGTGGCGGATACCTTTGTTATTGCTGCTGTAATGCATGCATTGTGCCGACACTCGCCACCTCAGCTTCCGTGGGTCCTATGGCCCCGTGTCCTCTATCAGCCGCCACGCCCACGACGTTTCATACACACATCTCGCGGGGAATAACTTCACTGTTGCTGCTGCGTCACTCTGTGCAGAGAAACCACCGAAAACCCAAATCGGTGGAGGAATGTAAGTATGTATCTCGCCTACCATAGGCGACGCAAGATACCACACCCCCTGTACCGATTTTTTAAAGCTTGAGTACTCCACGTCGAACATGGCGACAACAGTTCGCCGCTACTGCGCGGCTACAGTGTGCGTACCACGGCGGTGTGATGATTATCCCGTACCCGTATTGTAGGGGATGCACTAACCCAGCGAGACGTTGTCGGAAAGCTCTCGACGAGACGGTTCCCACACCACCATTATCGGCACCGCCCCTCTATTCGGTGTGTAGTTACCGAGCTTTAAAATCGGTCAAGGGGGTGTGGTATCTTGTGTCATGCCACCTGCGGTACTGCTGTATGCACACGCCAACGGCCGTTCGTTCCAGGAACCGTTCCAGGAACCGTTCCAGGAATCGTTGTTGTTTTTTGTCCGTGACTCGGATTTTCAAAACTCAAAATGATCGACTGCCACCCACCCCGCCACCGCACAAAAACGTTTGCAGATACATGAGACTACTGCAAGGCATTGAGTCGGCTTTCCCGCGGCTGACTAACCCCGCCCTATCTAGTACGCTCGAGCGGGTTAAATATCGGTGATATCGTAACACCGCCCGTGCCCGGTACGCAATTAAATTGAATAAATAAATCGCGTCGTTCTCGCATTTTTTGCTTCCCCAAGTGCTTCGAACCTTTAACCTCGAGTGAGGGGAAACCATCTGCTGCTGTGCTGTTGTACCCGTACGACACTGGCCCGCACAATTCCGGCAAAATGTTTTTGGGCTTTCACATTGCCCGATTTGCCGATTTGGACATTTTCTTTTCGGTTCTTTGAGGTTCACTGGGCTCTTCCAGTCCTGCTTTCACTGCAAAGGCTGAAACACGTCTCGTTCGGCTGCTGTGGTTGTATCTCGGATGAAGTCTTTTTTTTAGAAAGTAAAAAGGATGTCGTCTTTCTGTGTGTGTGTGTGTGTGTTTGTGTGTTTTTTCCAAATACGTCTAGAACAACAAGTCAGCTGCGTGTGAGCTGTTTTGGAGCTTGGGATACGTCACGACCGGCACCTGGCAGTGACATAGCTGTGGCTGTTGGGCTGGCCCTGCTGCCTGCTTTACCTTCAACGTGCAGCATCCCCGCGGATGAAATTGCTGTTGCCTCAAACGCACTTCTACTGGAAGCTATGTAGCTACAAATGCTCTACAGTAGAAGAAATAGAAAAATTCCTACATGCAGTAGATGCATACACAAGCAAGCAAAGAGGAACTGCGTTGATATTTAAGGAAGGACTTGCTTGGAGCAAGTATGCATACTACGTACGCTGTATATTCTGGCTGTAGCGCTCAAACAGGTCTCTGAGTCAACGATGGTTAACATCGGGTCGGCGAAAATCGTGCTTTTCGTTGTTGTCTTCAAGTTCAAATTCAAGCCGGTTTCTGCTCAACACCGTTCAATACTAGTTTTGTACCGGTGCAACCGATGCCGGCGCCTTCCGGTGGTCACATCAGGCCTTCACGCTTTAGAGCCCAAAAATAAAGCCAATAGGTACGTATGCCCGTGACCTTTCGATGTCTTCACGCTGTAGAGTCCAAAAATAAAGCCAATAGGTACGTATGCCCGTGACCTTTCGATGCAATGCGGTATCCATGGGGGGAATCACGTTGTGTGCAATGTACCCCCCTATTATAGAAAAAGCTTCGTCGATCTCCGGACGGACGGGCGCCAGGTAAAAAAACATGCGATCACACACAAAGCCTGTGTTTTCAGCGTCCCTGTCCGCGGCAGCGCATGTGCGCGCAACACGTGTCTACATAACCAAAATGGGAAAATAGAATGCCCGCCTGCTCCTGAAGCACTAGTCTATTCTGTTCCTGTCCTGCAAGTCGATCTCCGACACAGTACATTTTACCATCCGTGCGAAGGGATCTTTACTTCTAAATTTACTGTCTCCTCATTGGTTGGAGATGCGCGTGCGCGCGCTCCCTCGGTGAACCTCTTTTTGGTTCTATTCACAAAGCTCTCCTGGGGTGGGGAAACCCCGGCGCTGTAGCTACATTTCTCCGCACGCCGCGCACGAGGTGCGCGTGCTGTGAAGGACGGACAGGGCGGCCGTGCTACCTTATCGACACGTAGCCTCTAGAGAGAGCATTGCATAGCGTGGCTTCCACCGTTGGCCACCACAGCAGCGGTCAGTCGTTGATGCAAGGAGGTGAGCGGCATGCTGCCGAGCACGCGCTCTGCTGGCGGCGCGCATCATGATGCTGATCATGATGCAGGCGCGGATGACTGCGTGGATGGTGCGGCTGGTCGCCAGCACAAGCCGTTGTCGCACCCCTTGCCCGCAGCCCCATGCGCGAACACTGGAGAGAGTTCCAACTTCTTGCAGCAAAACCCTCCTCGAGAACGGACAGCGACCTCTTCCGGTAGCGAGCCGTCGGGCAATTCCCATCTGTCGGTCAGCGGCGCGCCTGGCGGTGTAGCCACCGTCGCGAACACATTTCCTTGCGACACTCCTGCGGCTATCGGAGCGGCTCGCAGAAGTGTGAGTGGACGTGAATCACCACCAGCGAAACGCCACGCGTCGCAAAGCCCATCATCCCGGCGGAGTTTGGGACGAGATGCAAGAAATTCATGCGAGGGCTTCGGGGCCGGTGAACGTCGCGGCAGGGTGCTGCACTCGTTCCTTGCTACAGCTGCGCAGATGTCCCAAGCATCGGAGGCCTTGGGGACGCCAGGGGAGCTATCAGGTGATGGTTTCGAATTCGCGGAACCACATACGCCCCTGTCGTCTGCCATTGGGGTACATACGGGACCGGGATACTGCTCTACCGGTACGCACGGGCCGAGTGCACCACTACTACATTCGGAGGTAGAGGGAGTAGCGCAGCTAAACTATGAACGCTCACGCCAACTTGGAGC